AAATATTAGAATGCAATTTTTTTGTAAATAAAATATGAAGTTTAAAATTGAATACATATAACACCTATTAATTAAATATGACATATATCTAAAAGGGAAAATTATTTGTTATTTTAAAAGATATAAACTTATGTCCTTTCACCGATTACAATTATGTATCTGGAGAATACATAGTTATAATATGAAAGTTTTTTTTTTTTTCTTCAGAAACTTTTTAGGACTTGTCAACTGATGTATAGAGAGAAAAAAAAATAACTTTAACATTATAACTATATACTCTGAGAAATATATAGTTATAAATGGTAAAAGGACATAAATTTATATCCTTTAAAAAAACATACATTAAACCCATATTTAAAATAAGCCAAATTTTTTATATAACCAGTCTTATACAAATATAATAAATTTTACTAAGTTAGTTATGAACTAAACTAGAGTAAGCTAATAGATATCAAAAGTCGTAAATAACAACGCATATTTAGGTGGTGAAATTTGTTCAATACACTCGACTGCCTTACAGTAAGAACCCATCACAGAACTTCACAAATAAAGAAAATAAAGAGTTCAATAATTTGGCTTCTAGTTTTAAAAATATTCACTTCCCCGGGTTAGATTTGTGCAAGTTGTCATTTTTCAAACACGTTTTTTGACTCAAATTTTATAGGTTAAAAGTATTTTTCAATTCAATCCAACTTACAATTCAATATGTGCAGGGTGTGGAAGGAGTTGGAGGTGCATCTCTGTTGGGAGCTGGGTAGAGAGATGAATTTCTGGAAGGACAAATGGTTAAGCCACCATGTTTCATTCCGCAGGATGTTGCGAGCAACTGGAACCAAAACATTGATACGAACAAGAAAGTGGCTGAGATGACAACTTTAATTGGCTGGTTAATAGGACTACAATGACTTGAAACGATGGCTACCAGAAAACTCGACAAGCTTAGGGGCACCTTGCCTCCATGTGACACTGATGGTCCTGACATGAGGGCGTGGGATCTTTTGGGTGATAACTCTATCACGGTTCGAGCTATATACAATTAGCGGTGTCAACATATGTCACTCAATTACTTATGAAAAATTTCCGTATCTTTTTTTCTATAACGAGCCTATCCTCTATTCTCTATTTATATATTCAAAAAAGATTGAAAAATATTTAAAATGAATAAAAAAGGTCGACCCGCTACCCGACTTGAAAATTTGTGTTCAGGTTGACTTAAAAAAAAATTGTGTCGTGTTCGTGTTGGAAAAAATGACACATGCGTGTCGTGTTCATGTTGATGTATTCGTGTTCGTGTTGACCCATATTTATTTTAATTATTTTTTTTTAATTTTTTTAATTTTGACCCATTTTTTTTAATTTTTTTTGTCAATTACCGATTTGACCCTTAATTTGCGTGTTATTCGTGTTGTGTCGTATCAACCCACAAAGAATCTGTGTCGTGTTCGTGTTGAAGATTTTGACAAGAATAAAAATCCGTGTCGTGTTCGTGCTGATGTATTCGTATCATATCAAATTCGTATTGTGTCAATCTATTTTGACATGCATGTATACAATTGCCTTAATGATCAAAGAGGCATTGAGGTAGCTGAGTCAAAAACCTGGAAAAATATCTGGCGCTGTAATGGGCCTCAAAAAGTTAAGATATTGATGTGGAAAATAGTGCATCGTAGGTTGCTAAAATGCTAACCATGTGTAATATTTGCCCAGTGGAGTGGCGGGGATGATTCTTGTCCCATTTGCAGAATAGAGAGGAAGTCAATACTTCATGCGTTGAGGGATTGTCAGGAGGCAAAAGCTCTTGTGATATAACTTGGTTCTTGGGGCGGTTAATGCTGATTTCTTTCAAGAGGACCTAGATGAGTAGATCGAGAGTATAACTGGTGCTGGTGGGGATTCAAGATCATTGGGGGTTTGCTTGACTTTGTTTTTCCTGACTTGCTGGAAGCGTGGTAGTTAAGGGTGTTCATCAACAGATCCAAACCGATTCAAATCGCGGTGACCGAACCGAAAAACCGATAACTGAATAAATTGAAAATCGAAAAATTCAAAAAATCGCAAATTTCAATTGGATTGGATCGGTTTTTAGATTGTTTGATGAAAATCGATCCAATCCAAACTAATGCAATATATTAATTCCCTTCTACCTACTTGTCTTTCCCTAATCATAGCTTAAAAATTTCTAAACCCAAAACCCATTAACCCATCAACTAAACCCAAGAAAAAAATCTAGTAACATCTCATCAACAAAATTTTATCTTTGTAGAGCTTTATATCTCATTGAAAAAAAAAATTATATTATAGTTTATTAATACTTTTGTATTTAAAAAAATTACAAATATACAAAAGATGTTATTTGCACAATAATCATGAAATAAATTTTAGGATTTTCAAGAAACTGAAGATCGATCCAATCCAAACCGAAAAAATTAGATTGGATCGGATCGGATTTGAAAAAAAATCCAAACGGAATGAATGATTATATGATCAAACTGAAGGATCGGATGATTTGTTTCTAAAACCGATCCAATCCAAACCGCAAACACCCCGGTGGCAGTGGCGAAATAAGACACTCCATAGTGCTCCATTGACTGTAAGGACAAGGGAGTTGGTGATTCGAAACCTAGCTCAAGAGGTGAAGGAGGCTTTCAAACCTGAGAATGGCCGCCTGACAGAACAGAGAACAGTAAGTCTTGATATTGTGAGGCAATTTCCAATGGTTGGCTTTGTCAAGCTGAACACATATGATGCTGCAAGGGGAAATCCTGCCTCCAGCGTGTGGTGGGGTTATTCGAGACTCTCAAGGAAGATGGCTTTCTGGATTTGTTTTTAGATTAGGAGTCTGCAACTCCTTCCAAGCGAAGTTGTGCGGTGTGCTTTGGGGTTTAGAATTGGTTTAGAACTTTGGATATTGAAGTTTTAGAAAGTGACTCATCAAGTGTGATAATTGTGCTCATCAATCAAGGTGCCAGTGGTTTGTGATGGTCATTTAATCTCTCGCATATGAATATGGCTACAGAAAAATTGTATTGCCAGGTGTAAAGAACCTTGGGATACACCACCCCAAAAGCTAGCAGATGGGAGTGCCCAAAGCCTTATAAACTTCACATTAGTTGCACATACAACCAATGTGGGACTATATATCTCAACACACCCCCTCACACAAAAGCTCATTGGACTTGAAGAATGGACAATGCAACAGGCTCAGTCTACCTGTACTCTGATACCATGTAAAGAACCTTGGGATACACCACCCCAAAAGTTAGTTCAAAAGGTGGAAGTGCCCAAAGCTTTATAAACTCCACATTAGTTACACATCTAACCAATGTGAGACTATAATGCTTGTGCGGGTGAATGACAAATTTCATTCAGAACAATAATGAGGACATGCATGAACAACAATACTTGCTGCTGTGGGTAGACCGTGGGCCCTGATCATCCAGTAGTGGTGCTGGTGGTGTTTTTTTTTTTTTTTTCCTTTCTTGTTTTCTTGTTCTTGGGCTTTGGCCCTCTTGTTTGAAAAAAAAAAGTATTGAGTCAAAAGACTCAAAACTTGTATAATCGTGAGTTGAAGCAACTAACTGTCCTTAAACAAACAGTCAATATCATTATTTTGTTATTGATATAAACATAATAAATAAAAAGGTATCCAAATAAATTAAGCAAATAAGTCTACCAAAAAAAACTAAGCAAATAATTGCAATGACAATATAAAAATGGGAGGCTAACAAATGCATAATAAATCTTATTTTCTTTTGTACTTTATTGTTTTTTATTTCTGAAAAAAGAAATAAATAAATTTGATACTTAAAGGGAAAAATGTGTATCATTTTTTTTTTTGGTACATAAGTGTGTATCATTTTAAAGGATGTAAAATTGTGTCATTTTAAGTGAGAGAAAGAGATAGATAAAGGAGGAGAGAGAGAGTGGACAAAAAATTATAAAGGTGCGTGTCTCACCTCTTTGTGAGAGTAAAAAGATATAAGTTGTGTCATCTTACCTCTTTGTGAGAGTGAAAGGATATAAGTTATATCATTTAAAAGGACAAACATTTTTCCCAAAAACTAATTATGTAAGACAACCAAATACAGATGAACAACTACAAAAGTATTCATGCAAGACATATGATAATACCCGTTGTAATTGTGTGACTTAAAGAAATTCATGCTTGTATTATTTAAAAGCTAAGACACAAGGAAACGAAGATAACCCAGTGTGTTTTCAAAAATAAAAAAACTTACATAGTGCTTTTGAGAAGCCCATCACAATGCATTAGAAATTAAGAAAGTAATAAGTTTAATGATTTATTTTTTTTATTTTTTAAAGTATTTATTTAAATGGAATATTTTTTAATGCTGATATTTATCAAATTTCTTACACAATTTACCCTAAGCGTTTGAAATGTCTTTCAACTCATTCAACTTATATATTCAATCAGATTAAAACATATCAAAATTTGCAAATTAGGTTACGCAACCAACTATCTTTGAACAAAGAGTTAAAATTATTGTTTTTAATTAAATATACATACTAATTCATGTCGTGCCGTGTCACCCTGCAAAAAATTCGTGTCGTTTCAGTGTTGAAGATTTTGACACGAATAAAAATCCGTGTCGTATTCGTGTTGATGTATTCGTGTCGTGTCAAATTCGTATCAACCTGTTTTGACACCACAAGCGCATTAGTTTTATAGTTGGCTATGTTGATATAGCTTAGATAGGGAAAAGATATTATACACTAGGGTAGGGCTGAACTTTCAAATCCGGGGGCTTTGTTCCCGAAACTCCCTTAGTTCAAATACTAATTATAATTACATTTTGTAATAATCAATCTATATAAGAAAATATAGATTCTCGTATCATTTTAAAGTAAAAAAAAAAAAACAAATCATAGTGCAAGTAAAGTATAATATTGCTTTTCACCAAAAAAAAAGTATAATATTACTTACTGTGATTTTTTACATTAAAAGAATATTATTACTGTTTTAAATTAATAAATGAATACCTAAAATAATAAAATCTTGTTTATAAAGATTTATTATACTAATATAAATAAAAAAACTATGAATTGCCCTTCATTGATTCAATGGCCATTTTACTTAATCAATAATCCATACGCAAGCTCCGCAATTCAGATTTGAATGTTGAGATAGAACTCAAGGTTCGACGAGCAAGACTCCTTATGTCCTCCCGTAAACAACCCCGTGAAATCTGGACAAGCTCCAAAAGAGCTCCTCCACTAATCATGTCTTTTGCATTCACTTCTGCAATAATTATAAACTCAATTGCTTAGAATTTTACAAGAATGTGTTTAGATAAACTGAGAACATGATGAGAAGTAGCATTACCGTGTTGTGCCATGTGGCAGAGTGCAAGCTCAATGTGACGCCTGATTGATGCAACTTCATTATTAGCATTTTGTACCATCCACAGAAGTGCACCATCTTCTATCAAAAATGACCTGCCACTTTTTATCCCTGAGTGTGCAAAAATATAATTATCAGGATACTACAAACTAAACCTTATCTCACTAATTTCTCTTTGATGCTAGAAATACTTTCAGAGGCTTTGTGACGAGTGAAGTGGGGCGGGATAATTGACGGCAATAACTTGCTTATAAACATAAAATTTACTTATAAGCTAATCAATGCAGGACTGACATTTTTTATGACAGTAGCCTATTTACAACTTGTTCCATTTTATATTGAGTTTAACATACACACCTTTAACATTTTTCGCCCTAGAGAATCAAACACTAAGGAGGAAGAAATCAGACCTTGATTAGAAGCCCGAGACTCGCATTTTGCGAAGTTAGCAATTCCACGTGCAACTTGGGAAAGAACATCGGGATGTCCACATCTTACAATTCCCAGTAAGGCCTTTATACCTCCCTGAGATCTCAGAGTCATCAATATTTTATCTGGATGAAGAACATGAAGAGAGAATTATGAATAAACTTCAAAAAGATATCTAGTAGTGGAAATATTAAGATAATTATGATTTCAAAAGTAAAATCTACAAGTAAAAGAACCATCTTCGAATACACCTTTATGTAAAAAAAACAATCAATGAAGAACATTGACATGAAGCTAGCACAAAGATTTCATATAATATGCTGAGTTCACCTAACAAGTCATAAGCGTTTCAGCTTTACATGATATAATTTTGTAAAATTATGCACATTAAATCCTTCTGGACAGACAGATTATAAGAAGTAGCATCTGCATAAATGCTCAAAAAAGAGCTTCCGATCTTTGGCAGAAGACTACCAACTAGATGACGATAGGGAGATTGTACAGTTGGATACACAGAACAACGAAGCAATAGGTGCTGGGGAGGCGGCAGAATATACATGTCAAACTTTATGAGCAGCTGGCCGGAAATTTCTCTTGTAGGGGCAATCCCCATTTCCCAACATAAGGACAAGATTGAACTTTAAGGGGGTGACATTGACAGGGTCACAGAGTAGTTAGCCAGACTAGTTAGTGTTAGTTAAAATAGTTATAGAAATGAAGTGGGTAGGCCGTTAAAGTCGTCATAGGTGTAAGGAATTCAGATTTGTTACTACTGAAAACAGTAACAGTGTGTCAGTTGTAAAAAGGAAACCCTTTGTTGAAGGGAAAACCCTTAGACGGAGAATTCAGTCCTTTGTTCTTTGTTTGTGATTCTTTAACGGTGAGATTAATTGGTAGTAACTTGATAGTAACACAACTTGGTTGTTACAATATCCGGAGAATAAATTCCGGTACGTGAATAAAAAAAAGTTTTTATACATACTCTAATTATTTTTTTAAGCTAATTATAAGTTTTAATTTTCCGAGGTGGTTATGGGATTAATTAGCATGTAGAATTAAGTTACACTTAAAAGTATTCATCTTTTCAAAAAATGTATGTATGTATGAGAATAGAATTTCGAGGTAATGAGAGATTAGCCATATATATATTATATATAATAAAGGAGAAAGAGAGATTACGCTAATAATTAACTGCTTTTGCGTTGTTAATTTGTTAAGGAAGAAAAATGAAATTACTATTAAACAAAAAGTATGGTATTTAATAAATATTTTGAAACTCTTTGCTTGTTGTCCATGAAATATTAAAGGGTTTTATGAGTATTATGTAACATAATGTAAGTGTTGTTTTCAACTCTCACATCAAAAGGGAGAGAGAAAGTGAAATGATGAAAGAGAAAGAAAAATATGTGGACCCCACCTCTTTAATGTGTGTGTAGGAAAGTGAAGTTATATTATGTTAAATGATAAACATAAAACCCAATATTAAATGAGATTAATGTTTCGTATATTGTAGGAGATAATTTTATTTTTTATACACATAAAATATGTGGGCCTATGTTATCTTTTTTTTCTCTTCTCTTTACACGATGTCATGTGGGTCTCACACATTTTTATGTGTGTGTCGGAAATAAAATTATCTCATATAACAGAGAAACAATAATCCTATATTAAATATGGAGTTTGCATTCGTCATTTAACATGACATAAAAAATTTCCTACATACACAACGTTTTGTGGGGCCCATACTTTTTGAAGAAAAAAAAAAAACTACGGCACGCAAAACGAATCTCAATAACATTACACAATCACTTTTCCTACAACATAACTCTTATAAAACTCATTAAATATAGTTTTTAGTTTTTTTATTTTGTCTGTTTTTTCTTTCGTAACATGATACTTAATAGCTCTTATAAATGTTTTTACATGAGTAAATATTTTTTTTTTTTGGAGAATGCTATTACATGAGTAAATATAAATATTGGTGGACCATGGCTAATGTGCTTTAGATGAACATGCCTTTCTGCTTCATTATTGTGAGCACAACTTGAAATTGCATTATAATAAGAGACTAGATATAAAATAATAAGATTCCATTATCACGAATATCATTCTTCTGTTAATTCATTTGATAATTATTCATGTTGTTGACGCCGATTTTTAAAAAAAAAATTCTTATGTTTTTCCAAGTTGCTTCCTATCAAATCCTTTAACATTATTTATCACAATTTCACGGCTACCTTCGCATAGTGCTGCTATTATTCTTCCTCTGGAACACATTTGTGGACAATATATATTCCCATAAAATTGAATGGTGGAAAGCATGCATACATCATGGAAACTTTTTTTGACGAATTTGAGGATTCGGAATTAGCGCTGATGATTATAGTCCAAAAGAAATTTTGACATCACGAGATTTTTTGTAACATGGTTTGCATTTACAAGTTTCTAGAGCAGTTATCTGCACAAATTTCACATTCATAATTTACAAGATCCGAAGCTGAATTTGTCAAATTTTGATTTCTTGAATGCGCAATAATTGTGCGAGGGAGTATGTAACTCATTCTAGAAACACCATTCTATCTACACCAACAGAACTAAAGAAGAACTCAATCTTAATTCTTCTTCCATTAAATGGATATTTTAAAGTCAACTTGTTATTAAAGTGAGTAAATTCAGTTAATTTAAGATGCATCCAAATCTTAATACATTAAAATTCAATAGTATAAAAAAAATTCAACAGTAAATACGTTGTTACTTACTGAGAGTGTTCATTAACTGATCCAAACCGCATTGACCAAACCAAAAAATCGATAACCGAATTAACTAAAACTCGAAAAAATCGAAAACCGAAAAAACTACATATTTTAATTGGATTGGATCAGTTTTCGATTTAGTAGGTAAAAAATGATTCAATGTATTATGTATTTATTATTTTTGAAATTTCACTAATACCATCTTCCCTGATTCAGTAACCCTTACTTTGTTACTTCCTGAGTTTTGAACCCCAGAATAGACTATTCCTAAATTCACACACACCCGCGTCGCGCCTCCTCAGCACTAGGGGTAGAGTTCTTAACAACTACAAGAGTTCTCTTACTCCAAAGATAGTTGAAACATTAATATGTGCACAAAATTGGTTCCAATCCACTCATTTTTTCAATGATGTAAGAGCTCATAGAAGAATTTGTAAAGATGGAGATAGATAATTTACTTTATTCTTCTTGTATAATTTTTTAATTTTATATCATCTTTTTATTTTTTTCTAATTATTAAGTTACTAACAATATTTTATTATAATAATTTTAGATATTTCTACAAATACATAAGTTGATGATAATTCTAGTACGGATTCTGATTAAAAGTTAATGATGAAAGTTGCTATTTTTTAATTTCAATTGTTCATGTATTTATTTTAAATTTGTTATTGCTTGAACCCTCTCTTAATATCTTATTTTCATGAAAGTTGCTACATTGCTAATTGTTTTGAAAACCATAGAGTGAGCATTGAGCAAGCTGATAGATTGAAGTATGGAAGAGAAAGATGGTGACTTAGAATCTTGTTATTTTGTAGACATAAAATCTTGGAAGTTATTGATAACAAACTTTTTTTATTGTCTATTAATCCATTTTAGCTCTTCATGAGTTTTAAGACTTGTTTTAGTTTGAAGACTTGAATTTTTCAATAGTTTGTAACTTTGTATGGCTTTATTTTGATATAATTAGTGATTTTTATAGATGAAATTTTAGCCTTTTCGAAAAATCGAAAACTGATATAATCCAAACCTAATAAAATTGGATTGGATTGGATCAGATTTGAAACCGAATGGATGATTAAATAATCAAACTGAAGGAATTAGATCAGATATTTTTACTTTGAAATCGATTCAATCCAGACCGCAAACACCCCTATTATTTACTCACTTTAAAGATAATTTTACTTTAGAATTTTCTTTTATTATTTTGGAAGTCATTTTTTTCTTTTAAAATGTTAGCTTCTTTCATAGAGTAAACTACAATTGATATAATTTTACTTATAATGAATACCTTTTATTATATATATATATATATATATATATATATATATATATATATATATATATATATATGACTTTATATATTTCTACCTTTAACCAACCACGGCGGACGACAAATATTTTGTTCTTTTTTCCCCGGGCATCGCACGGGTAATTTACTAGTATCACATAAAACAAAAACACCAAGGTTTTCAAGATCAATTGCAAAAAATTTAAAACGAAATTTTATCATTAACTTTAGATTCAATATGCAAATTTTAAATTATTTTAATAAATAAAATTTTTTTGGGTCTTATAACAATATATGTATAGCTCTCATACTAAATGAAAAAGATAATTTTTAACTCATTGGTCAAAACCAAGAGCAGAAACAAGAGGATGATAATGCGTGGAGGGGCGTATAGATATATGGAGATATGCAGCTTTGTAAGACATCAAATTACTGATTGAAAAAATTATATTAGGTCTTACTTGTTTTTTAATATCATTACATTTCTTTGTTATTTTTTATTGACTCTTTTTTGAATATTCGTTAAAAATTCACTTGATTTTTTAAAATCTTATAAATTCATATTATCCTTTCAAATTTTATTAAAATCCTTTAAAATTCAATCTTATAAAATCTTGATTGTAAAAAAAGTTTTTAAAACCACTACAATTCTATATAAGTCTTTTAAAATCTATAAAAAATTTAATCTCAATAATTTTTTAAAATTCTAATCCAATACACCCGTGAGTTATACTTATTAATTTGGGTTTTTTTACCCTTTTACCCTTCATTAATTAATAACTATTTTGCCCCTTATTCGAAACTATCTACCAATATGCCCTTCTTTAATCGATTAACTTGAAGTTTAATCGATTAAATGGTCAAAACTGGCAAAAATAGTTGACTTGAAGATTTAATCGATTAAATCTTCAAATTAATCGATTAAATCTCCCAACAAGCAATAAAGGTCAAATTCCCTCTATAAATATGAAGCAAATTAGCAAGTTAATAAGAGTTGATTACGATTTGTATTTAATAGGAGCTGATTGTGTTTTGTATTTAATAGAAGCTGATTGCGTTTTGTATTTAATAGGAGTTGATTGTGTTTTGTATTTAATAGGAGCTGATTGCGTTTTATTAGGAGTTGTCATTTAACGAGTTGGTTACAGATTGTCACCAATTCAAATCTACTTGTAATTTGTAATTTTGAGTCTATTTATGCGCAAATTATAAATTACAAATAAATTTGAATTGGTGACAATTTGTAACCAACTCGTAAAATGGCAATTCCTAATAAAACGCAATCAACTCCTATTAAATACAAAACACACTCAAATCCTATTAAATACAAAACGCAATCAGCTCCTATTAAATACAAAACGCAATCAATGCTTTCACGCTCATTTGGTATATTTACTCATTTCATTGAAATGTTGCCCATAAATAGGCTCACAATTACAAATTACAAATAAATTTGAATTGGTGACAATCTGTAACCAACTCGTAAAATGGCAACTCCTAATAAAACGCAATCAGCTTCTATTAAATACAAAATACATTCAACTCCTATTAAATACAAAATGCAATCAG